TCACCTCCTTCTCTAACCTTGCAAACTCTGCACACTGCCTTGGGCAGAGGCTCTGCCCATTCAAGTACCACACTGGACCAAGAGCATCAGTCTCTTCCAACCCAGATGTACCGTGATGGCATGTCACAGCAGCATGACGGAGGGGAAGAGAGTACCTCTTCCTGCCTGGCACAGGGTATGGGTTAATGCAGCCTCACAGGTACACGGCTTGGCGGGTGGAGTGGGGGCTGCCCAGGCCCCAAGGCACAGGCTCAATCTGTACGACCCCAGAGAAGTGCTCTGTTGGAGCAGAGAGGACCGCACAGAGGCTCTGAGTGGCTACGGATGCAGGTGAACCAGCATGCGCGGGCCCGCCATAGACACTTCTAGGCTGGCCACCTAACGGCACGATAAAGGAGCTGTCGAGGATTTACCCACCGTAGGAATTCCGGTCCCACGCGTCCTGTTCCCCCATGGACAGAAGGCGCAGCTGCCCCCTACACCCCCTCCCCTGCCCGCAGCCGCTGACGTTACTCACCGACAGGGTGGGGGTGCCTTCGTCCTCCACGGTGACCACCAGGTGGTAAAAGCCCCGGCGCTCGCGGTCGGGCGGGGCGGGCCGCGTAGCGATCTCGCCACTGATCCGGTCCATGCGGAAGGTCATGTCCTCATTGCCCTCAGTGATGTAGTAGGACAGGACGCTGTTGATCCCGATGTCACGGTCGGTGGCTCTCACCTGGACCACAGCAGTACCCCCGCCCACGTTCTGTGGGGAGAGCGGGGAAAGAGGTCATTCTGGATTCGAAGCCCCCGGGGGCAAAGGGTAGCGCCTGCTTCTGGGAGCCCGAGGGCTCCACCTGGGCCTTCAGAAAGTTTTGCTCTACCGGGGAGCACCGATGAGGAGCATAAAGATGATGGTGGCGAACCTCCTGTGGGCACCCACTGCATGCGGGGCTGCCTTAATTCACCGATTCTTCTCCGTAACTCTCTGAGTGAGGTATGAGTCATCCCCATTTACAGATGAGAAAACCGAGGCACGGAGAAAGAACGTATGCAGGTCACACAGCCTGTCAGTGGCAGAGCCAGGGTCTGACTCACGGGAGCCTGGCCTGAGACCTGGCCTTCAAACCCCTACACCGTCTTGCTATCATTGACATCTAATCTGGCACGTTACCCAGCAACGCTGAGGCAAGAGTTTCCCCGAGTGGCTCAGTCTTGCGACTGAACGATAAATGTGTCGTCTCGTTTAAGAGCAGCTCTCCCGGGACAGATCTCTCAGTGCCCTGTCGGCGGTGAGAGGCCACTCTCTTCTTTCTCTCTCCTCTGGTCCCTTCTTCATGCCTCCCACAAAAGGATACTGTGTTCCAGGAGCTGGCATTAGGGCTGGAATTGTGGGTGAGCGAGCCACGCCCCCACCCACGAGATCCGAGAGACTAGTGGGCCAGGCAGACATTTAAACGGGTGCTTCACGGTCACTCACACCCACTGTCCACCCTGGGTGGCCAGCCGCCCTCACCTCGTTCACGCTGACATTGTACCCCAAAGGGCTCTCAATCACGGGAGGGTTGTCATTGACATCCAGGATGGTCACCTGCAGGATGTGGTCCTTCTTCCGTGGAGGGGTGCCACGGTCGGATGCTACGACCTGGAGGAGGGAGGTGACTGGATTCAGGGCCAAAGGTAGGGGAAGGATCAGGATCATGGAGTCTTAAAGGGCAGTCTGCCTGGTGGGGAGGACTGGGAGGGCGGAGAGATTCACTGGTCCATCCCTGTCCCTGGGTGGCCTGCCAGCTCTGGGTTCTCCCCAGGATTTTGCCTTCGCCCCATGCTGCAAACAACCCTTGCCTAATTATTATCTGGCTTGGGACCGTCATTTGGAATCTGATTCTGATGTGCCTAGGCTTTCCCTCCTGATCCTACCTCTGGCTTTATTCTGGGCTGTGCCAGACCCTGACCATGACCTGGGCCTGTGACCCAGGGATCCTGCCTTTAGCTTCCAATACCTCTGTTCTATGCACTCATGTGGAGTCTGGCAAATAGCCTCCTATAATCATTTCCAATGAGCTGGAGTTCTCCCCGTAGCCTGAGCCTATCCCTGGGAGCCTAGATGCTTCCTGGATGCCTCCGGGGCAGCAGAAAGGGCTCTCCAGGCTCAGACCCCTGCAGAAATACACCCGTG